GAGGAGGAGGAGGAGGAGGAGGAGGAGGAAGGGGAGGGGGAAGAGGGGGAGGAGGAGGGGGAGAGGACGAGGAGGAAGGGCGGCGGCGACGACGGCGAGACGGCGGCTGCACCCGCCCCGCGGCCGCGCACCGCCCGCCGCTGGCGCGCCGCCCACCCGCCCACCGCGCGCCGCGCGCGGAGGAGAAGGAGGAGGAGGAGGTGGAGAAGGATATACAATTGGCTCGTGCGTGCCCAGGCTCATGCAAACGATGCCGACTTATAGATGATGGTTATGATGATGATGATGCTGATCATGCTGATGATTATGATGATGATGACGCTGACGGTGATAATGATGATGACGACGCCGCCGACGACGACGATGGCGATGATGCTGATGATGATGATGATGATGTGTTGTCGCACGTAGCGCCTCAGTTGCGCCCAAGGCGGCTCCAAGATGGTCCCAGGATGGCCCAAGAACGACATGTGAGCGCTTACGTGTTGCTCCCTGGGCCTCGGTCGTAGTGTTAAACTGCTCTGGAAAACTCACTGGATATATTTCTGAAAGGGGGCGCGGGAGGGGGCGTCGGGGACCGTCCCCGAAGGTGGCCCGGGGGGGAGGGGGAGGGGCGTCGGAGACCGTTTCCGAAGGGGGGGGGGCGGGGGGGGGGGCGTCGGGGACCGCCCCGGTCCCAAGAGTGCCACATGACGGCTCCAAGAGGGGGTCAGGAAGGTCCCAAGAGGGGGCGGCGCCCAGCGCCCGAGAAGCCCCGAACGTGGTGTCACACAACGGGTTTTTTCATTAAAAAACCCGTTGTGTGACACCCAAGTGGGCCCCTCTTGGGGCCCTCTTGGGGCCCCCTTGAGCTTTCTTGGGGCTCTCCTGGAGCTCTCTTGGGGCTCTCCTGGAGCTCTCTTGGGGGAACGTGAGCTCGACCCCCAGGCGAGTCGAGCGCATGTGAGCTCGACCCCGAAGGGGGACCAGCGGGGGGGCGTCGGGGACGGCCCCCGAAGGGGAGAAGGGATGGGGGCGTCGGGGATCGTCCTCGAAGGGGGCCCAGGGGAGGGAGGCGTCGGGGACCGTCCCCGAAGGGGACCCAGAAGGGGGTGGGGGGACGTCGGGGACCGTCCCCGAAGGGGGCCCAGAGGGGGAGCGTCGGGGACCGTTCCCGAAGGGGTGCGGGGGCGTCGGGGACCGCCCCCGATGGGGAGGGGCGGGCGGCGTCGGGGACCGTCCCCGAGGGGGTGGGGCCGGGGGGCGGCGTCGGGGACAGTCCCGAAGGGGATCCAGAGGGTGGTGGGGGCGTCGGGGACCGTCGCCGAAAGGGGGAAGGTGGGGGGAGGTGCGGGGATCATCCCCGAAGGGGGCCCGGGGGGGCGTCGGGGACCGTCCCGAAAGGAGCCCAGGGGGGGGGGCGTCAGGGGCCGTCCTCGAAGGGAGCTGGGGGGGGGGCGTCGGGGGCCGCCCCCGAGGGGGGGGGGGGGGGGCGGCGGGGGGGGTCGTCGGGGACCGCCCCCGAAGCGGGGGGGTGGGGCGGGAGGGAGGCCGTCGGGGATCGTCCCCGAGGGGGTCCTGGGGGGTCGTCGGGGACCATCCCCGATGTGGGGTGCCACCTCCGAAGGGGGTCTTGGGCCAAGCCCTTCCCGCAGGGGCCCTGTGGGCCCCCGCATCAGCCCAAACGAAACAAACTCCATACCGAAACAAGATATAATACTTTAGTTCGTTTCGCGTGGACCATCCTTGAGTGCATGCGATGCCGTGGCCATTTGGGCTTAGGCAAGGCTTGCACCACCCGTGCGCGACTGTCATGCGCTTTGTTAGAGAACCGCAACTTCTGACTTCAGTGAACTCGATAGGTGATGCTTACAGATGGGCCGAACACAACTTCTACGTTCTGAAGAACTGGCTAGGCGTTGGATCCTTGGACCGACTGCATGATTCCCTGCACGGCGCCCTTTCCATGTCAACTTCGTTCAGCGGCACTGGCGGCGCCGAGAATGCAACCGACGCCCTCTGCAAGGCGTGCGACTTCTTCTTCGGAGGTGCTGCCCGTGTGCAACACGAGTGGGCCTGCGAATGGTTAGACGAATCCAGATATGAGCTGGCAGTGCTCCCCGATCCGCCAAAACTGATATTCAGTGACATCACTGACTTCTTAGTGATAGGTTTCCAACAAGATTTGAGGGATCGCGTGTCGGCCATTTGAGGGATCGCGTGTCGGCCATGACTTATGAGGCTGCAGAGGCTATGCTGGTGAAGCAGTACCGCCAGTTAGTTACCGCTCGGGCTTTCTGCGTGCTCTGCCAAGCCTGGTGCGCGGCATGCGCCTGTGACGTTCACGTCGCAGGAACGCCTTGCGTGGCGTGGTCTTCCATGGGGCAGAGGGCGCGAGCAAGTGGACCCACGTTACTCGGGTTCCTCGTATGGGCGTTCCTCCGCTTGGCGTTGATGGAAACAGGCATTTTGCACGAGAACGCGCCAGAGTTTGAGTATGAGCTGCTGGAGCGCATCCTCGGTCAGCATTACGTGATCTTCTCTTGCGTTGTGAATGCCAGCTCACTGGGGCAGCTGGCCGAGCGAACCAGGCGATACACATGGATGGTCCACAAACGGGTGTTGCAGCAATCCAGTTCCCCGCCTTGGCCAGTGCCGTGGAACGATGAGTTCGTTTATCGTTTCCACCGATATCTCGGCGAATGTGACTGGAAGCATCTGTTTGAGTTAGCGCCCCAAGATGAGGTGCATGCCGAGTGGGCGTGGGCGCTGGCAACCCGGAGACCCCGCGGGGGTGCTGCATGTTTTCAGGACCTGCTCACTGAGGACGAGCAGATGGTGTTGGACGCGCACAAGCAGCTCGGCTATGGCATGGGCGCTGTCTCGCTGACCCAGAACCTAGATCACAGAGCTTCTGGCAACAAAGACAAAGCAGCGCTGCATTGCCTGATCAAGAAGAGTTTCCCGTGCTTTAGTTGCTCGCATGGCCGGTGGCTGTGCCCAGGCAAGACATTGCGTGCTAACGCGTACGTGGCTTACCCATTTCTGTCGCAACTCGGTGAGCAGACCAGCTTCTTGTTTGAAAGGTCTGACTTCGGATTCCCGCCCAGGGCTCGAGCGCGCGCATTCGAGCAGGCTGGAGATGGGATGAGCGCGCCGTCTGTAGGGCTCTGCCTTGTCTGGTTCCTTCTGTGGGCTGGCTCCTTCAAAATGGACGTCGCCCGCGGGCTCGCGAATGATGCACTTCGGGGTTCGCGCGTGCTACAGGGCATCCTCGCGCGCCTGGGCCATCGTCGCCGCCAGCAGGCGCCCCCCCTCGCCCTCGCTGCAGACGGGCGAGCGCGCGAGCGCCAGCACGGGGTTTAGGCTGCAGCTTGCACAATGCATTCGAACTTGCGCTGGGGAGGCGCTGAGAAGATGACGACGCCGCGTGGGCATCTCATGGTCGTTGGCAATGGCTGCCGGGGGGTCGGCAACTAGGGGCGAAAAGGAGAAGGGGGTGGAGGGGGATGCAATGCTAATTTCACGGGAGCTGCGGGGCGGGAGGAGGAGGGGGGGAGGGAGAAGGGCAAGCTGAGGTTGGATGGGGGGACCCTGCTGCAACCACTGCGCCCCCCCCCCCCCCCCCCGCGCAAGTGCAGCGGCGGCGGCTTCCTGTCAGGCACTGCCGAGGCCGAGGGATTGTCGCCCTCTTCAAAGTTTCGGCGGGTCTGGAAATTTCAGCGGCCCTGGGGCCGAATCGGAACCGGGGCCGGGGTCCCTTGGGCGATCCCCATGAATTATCCCAGTGCGACCCTACCTAGGAGTTGGAGCCCCTAGGAAAGCAGCATTAGTAGCAACAGTAAAGCTAAGCTAAAGCTAAGCTAAAGCTAAGCTAAAGCTAATATAAAGCTAAGCTAAAGCTAAGCTGAAGCTAAAGCTAAGCTAAAGCTAACACTAAGCTAAAGCTAAGCTAAAGCTAGCACTAAGCTAAAGCTAAGCTAAAGCTAAGCTAAAGCTAAGCTAAAGCTAAGCTAAAGCTAAGCTGAAGCTACAGCTAAGGCTACGCTGAAGCTAAGCTACAGCTAAGATAAAGCTGAGCTCAAGCTAAGCTAAGCTAAGCTAGAGTAAGCTAAAGCTAAGCTAAAGCTAAGCTACAGCTAAGCTACAGCTAAGCTAAAGCTAAGCTAAAGCTAAGCTAAAGCTAAGCTAAAGCTAAGCTAAAGCTAAGCTGACGCTAAGCGAAAGCTAAGCTGCAGCTAAGCTAAAGCTAAGCTAAGGCTAAGCTAAGGCTAAGCTAACGCTAAGCTGAAGCTAAGCTAAAGCTAAGCTAAAGCTAAAGCTAAGGCTAAGCTAAAGCTAAGCTAAAGCTAAGCTAAAGCTAAGCTAAAGCTAAGCTAAAGCTAAGCTAAAGCTAAGCTAAAGCTAGGCTGAAGCTAAGCTTAAGCTAAGTTAAATCTAAGCTAGCACTAAGCTAAAACTAAGCTAAAGCTGAGCTAAAGCTGAGCTAAAGCTAAGCTAAAGCTCAGCTGAAGCTAAGCTAAAGCTAAGCTAAAGCTAAGCTAGCACTAAGCTAAAGTTAAGCTAACACTAAGCTGAAGCTAAGCTGAAGCTGAGCTGAGCTGAAGCTAAGCTAAAGCTAAGCTAGAGCTAAGCTAACACTAAGCTGAAGCTAAGCTAAAGCTAAGCTAAAGCTAAGCTAAAGCTAAACTAACACTGAGCTAAAGCTAAGCTAAAGCTAAGCTAGAGCTAAAGCTAAAGCTAAAGCTAAGCTAAAGCTAAAGCTAAGGCTAAAGCTCGAACCGCGGGGCCGCGGGGCGGGGACTGGGGGAACCGCCCGGGGCGGTTTCCATTGCCCAGCCCCTTTAGCTAAGAGGGTAAGAACCTTTCTAAGCAGAGCCTAGGTAGGGAATAGTTGGAATGGCTCCGTGGCCCCCTCATTTTTGTTCCAGCCTTACTGGTGCGAACCTGCGCAGGAGCGCCGTCGTGGCCGCGCTGCCACGCGTTCGTTCACTCTGCAGCCAGCCAACCGCCCGCGCGCCATGTCGAGCCCCAGTGCCGCGAGCGGCGACAGCCAACCTCCTGCGGCGTCGCCGGCGCTGCAGGCTGCGGATGCTTCCGCCGAGGGCGCGGGGGCAGGGGCAGGAGGAGACGCTTGGGCCAAGATGTCAGATGGCGCCCGCTGGGGAGCAGTTCCCATGAGGCGCAACGCCCAGCGCCGAGTCACGGTGAAGCTCTTCGCCGAGGACGATGTCAACCTGGTTCGCAGGCTCGTGACCCGGCACCGCCTCAACGCGAGGGTCCTCAAGGCGAAGGTCACCGAGTACAAGGATGGCATCCTGGAGCACGGGCTCTTGAACGACGTCAGGGGCACGATCATCATGATGCCCGGCTCTGGGCCAGGTGAATCTCCTCACTGGCGGCGGCACCCTCTTCGATGCGATGCGCGCTGCGATCAATCAGAACCGGCATAACCCGAATTGCCTCGACATTTTGAAGAATGGCGTGGAGAACACGATCGCCCTCGACACCACCGCGACAGACGAGGAGATATCCTGGCTCAAGAACGTGCACGACCGCTTCCACGGCGGTCAGGGCGCCACTCTGGCCGAGTGCTACCGCGAGGCGGTGGAGTCGCAGAAGGAGTGGGCAACGTTCTGCCGCCAGAACGGCATCACGGTTTCTGGCTGCCCCAAAAAAGGCGCGCATCTGAAATGCATGTCAGTTGTCTACCCTGCCCGCCTCCTCCTCCACCTGCTCACGCCTCCTCCTCGTCCTCCCCCTAGCCCCTCCGCGTCCTCCCCCGGGAGCGGCAGCAGCAGCTTGCGGTTCCTTGCTAGCCCCCCCCGTCCAGCAGGCCCGTACACGCGCGCCAAGCGCTTCGAGGCGTTCATCCTGGATCGGCACGCGGGACCCCCCACCACTCCCCTCCCCATTCCGCCCCCCTCCCCTCCCTCCCTCCCTTGTCCCATCCCTCCTCTTCCGCCTCCTACTTCAACTTCTCCTCCTGCTTCCCCCTCCCCCAGTTTCGAAATTGGCGATCGCCCCCGCCCTGCCCCGAGGTGGAGTAACGGCGCCCGAACAGACTTCGAGGCCCTCGAGGCTGATCCCCCGTGCCAGTGCGAGCCCGAGCCTCCTCGCTTGGCGCCCTGGTCTAAGACGCCCCAGTTGGAGGACGAGGAGGCTTTCGAGGCAATCACTCGCGTTGCGTTTTTCGAGGCGGGGGGCGCCGGGCGCCGGATGGCGATGGGCGAGGAAGCCATCCTTGAGAGGCGCGCCGAGAGAGAGCGCCGCGCGGTGGCGTTCACCCCGCCAAGGGCCCCACCTAGGGCCCCGCCGCCTCGTTCGGAGTCGAAGCCGAAGGTTCGGGACGACGAGGCCGAGGCGAGGGATGCAAAGGATGCACTCACTCGCGTTGCGTTTTTCGAGGCCGGGGGCATCGGTCGCCAGATGGCGGAGAACGAGGAAGCGAGCCCGTGACGTTCGTCGCGTCTCGACCGACGTGCTCCCTCATTCATTCATCGTATAGCATCGTGTAACAATTTCCCGAGCTATTGCCTCCCAGGTGCAAGGGTTTCTGCAACAAGTGGGTGACCTACGACAACATGAAGGTCGTCGCGAACCAGCTGGTGGCTGCCGACACGTTTGAGTACGTTGTCAAGACGATGGAAGAGGGCGCCAACTCCTCGAAGCCTGGATGCACTGCGCACTGGGCCATGAACCACGCTCACGCTCTCAAGGTTGCCATATTCAGCGACACCTTCACGAAGACGGTCGAGCCGGGCATGCTGAACTTGATTTTCGCGGAGGCCTTGCAATTTACGATGCCCCTCTGCGCTCTCGAGGGCGAGGCGGGGGGGGGGATTGCAACTTACCTGGGGAGGTCAATGCGTGCAATGCATGCGTGCTCGTCGCCGCGGCTGGATTCGTTTCGGGGTCTCCTGGGTCTGGTCGGAACGCGTTCCGAGGGATCCTGGAGCAGCGGCCGCAACCCGCCCTTCGCGGTCCTGCGCCCTGGGCCCATAGCAGCCCAGCGACGGCGGCGGGCAGGGGATCGGTCGGCTCTGAGCCAAGAGGGGTGTCGGGCGACGCTCCTCCTCCTCCTCCTCCTCCTCCTCCTCCAGCTCCCCCCTCCTTCTCTCCCTCTCTCCCTCCATCCTCCCCCTTCCTCCTCCTCCTCTCCTGCCCCCCCCGCCTCCTCCTCCTCCTCCCTGAATTGTGCGAGGAAGTCCCAGGCGCAACGCGTTTTCACAAGATTTGCGAAAACATGTTCCTCGCCCTCCTCCCCGTTTGTTTTGCGTTGCCCCCCTAGGCGGAGCCCGAGGTCAAGTGGCCCCTGAAGGAGCAGAAGTCGATGCCTTGTATCCAGTGGATGTTCTGCGCGATGGGGGCAGCGCGGCATGCCGCACGAAGGCCGCGCCGCAGGCGAAGAAGAAGGCCGCGAAGAGGGGATCTGCGGGAACCGCTCACCTTGAGAAGCAGGAGGAGCAGGCGTTGCAGCAGCCCGCTTTGACAGATGGAACTCCGAAGGCGTGGACGCACGACGTGGCCCAGTGCGTCGCGAGCCCCGCCGCCATCCTGATGGAGACCGGCTCTGCTCACAGCGATGTGTTGCTCGCGAGCCAGCGCATAGCAGTTCGCCAATCTTTGACGCTGCTGTGGGATGCTTCCTTGGTAGTGAACGGCAAGGCGGTGAAGGCGTGGAGCAAGGCGCGCAAAGCCATCAAATCCGACATAGTCAAATCGAACTTGCGCATCCTCGGCGAGGCTTGCGGCGAAGACGACTTGGGCAGTCTGGGCCCCGACGCCGTGGCCGCGAAGATCGCGTCGCCCCTGGACAAGAAGGACGACGGCGCTGCCAAGCCCGCGACGACAGACCCAGAGAGGGATCGCCTGGACTCGTTCCTTAGTCTGAGCCGCGTGATGGGTCTGCTCCTTTTCATCGAGAGGAACCCTCCGACCCTCTCGCCCGACCTGAGCGCGAAGTTCCAGGGGCTGATGCAGATCGCTGGGAATTGGGCGAAGTCGAACAGGGAGATGACCAAGAAGATCACGTGGACTTCGCTCCTGCAGACTCTTCTCCCTACGGTTCACGAAGCCTACGACGAGGACGCCATAATTGCGGCGACCATGGTGAGCACGTACTTGACGAAGTAGGCGAGGGCCCTTGGCCCGGACTCCGCCGAGCCGAACGTGAGCGAGGTGTCCAGCGGCCTCTTCGAGACCGTCGAGACAATGGAGAGGGTCGTTTCCTCGAGGGCCCTCTGGATGCTCGAGGCTTTCAAGGCGCTGGCTACAGGGCCTGGCCGCGTGACAGCCAAGGGCGCCACTGACTTCGTCGGTCCGCTCTGTGGGCGTCTCTGCACTGATCTCGCCGCGGCCGATGCTAGCTGCGCGGACTTCGCGGATTGGCGCAACTTCTGGGTCGGCCTCCTCAACGCATCGGCGGGGGTCGACAACATGGCGGCCCAGTGGGAGCAGACCGTCGCGCAGTACCTCCAGACCGACCTGTTTGACGCCATCATGCGGCAGACGTTTGGCGCCGACGGCGAGGCAGCGGCGGCAGAGGGCGAGGCCGAGCCCCCTTCGAAGAAGGCGAAGGTCGAGGAGGCCACGACCGCCGCCGAGACCGCGGCCGAGACCGCCGCCGCGCTGCCAGCGCAGGCCGCGCCGGGACCCGAGCCGCCCGCCGCGCTCGGCTTCGCGGAGCAGGCCTCAGCGCCCAAGCCCCAGGAGGAGAAGCCGATGGAGCAGGACCCCGCGCCCGAGGGGCCCCAGGGGGAGGAGCCGAAGGAGCCCAAGGTCTTCCATTCGGTGCTCCACAAGCAGCCGCAGCAGGCGGCTGATACTCAGCAGTTGCTCGACCCGTTCGGAGTCGGCGAGATCGACAATAAGGCTAAGGCCATAGAGGACACGAGGCAGAGGGTTGCGGCGGCCAAGCAGGCGTTGCAGGCACGACGCGCGGAGCGTCAGGCGCAGGTGGCAGATGGGAAGATCATGGCCGAGACTACTGAGGGCGAGGGTAAGCAGTTCAAAAGCATCGCGACTTTGCGGACCCTCCACAAGGGTGGGGATATCCAAATGACGGACCAGCTCATGTTCGCGTTCGGCACGCGCCTCCGATCCTTCGTGGTGGAGATGAGCGCTATGGGCGCGAGTTCCTCGCGGACTGCTGCGTGGAGGACCTTGGCTCCGTGGAAGGGGGTTCCCGGGCTGCGCGCCAAGAGGGTGGTGCCCGAGAACCTAGTGCTCACTTTCACGGGCCCCGTCGTTCGGGCCCCAGTCAAGGGGGCCTTACCTGTCTGCGACGCCATGGGCACGACCTTCTACATTACCCCGACCCCTGGAAATCTGAGTTGCGACCACGTGTGCCCCGCGTGGTCGGCGTCCATCGTCGAGCCCACGAAGCACGACCCGAACCCGAAGACGACGCTGGCGGTTCGCATGGAGGAGCGCTCGCTGGCGTTCGAGTGGACGCACTTCGGGGCCGCCCAGAGGATTGAGGTGACTGTGACTTTCTACCAGATGCGCAAGAACCCCGAGCCGCGCCCGACTTGGGACGGTTGGGATGCCCAGGGCGGCTACGTCAAGCTGACCAGGCCCGTCATGAGCAGCCAGGTCACACAGGTGCCCAAACCCGCCGACAAGGGCAAGGGCAATGGCAAGGGCAAGAAGGATAACCCATTCGCCGCGTGCAAGCATCTGTTGCACTGAGCGGTCTGGCCCTGGCCCGAGGCCCGAGGCTCGTCGTTTCGGGATAAGAGCCTTTTCGAGGTCCTTGCCCCGGGAGACTTGCAGGAGGATGAGGAGGGGGGGAAAAGGGTGGGGGGGGGGAGGAGGAGGAGGAGGAGGAAACGATCTGACAAATGTTTCAAATGCAGGGGGCGTCTCGAGGCATAAGATAGCGGCGTCTCAGCCCCCCCAGTGTCCAGCGTCCAGCGAGGCGTGTCTGATGTTAGATCAGATATGCGAGTTCGCTCCCCCAGTGTCCAGCGAGGCATAAGATAGCGGCGCCTCAGCTCCCCGCCCAGTGTCCAGCGAGGCGTGTCTGATGTTAGATCAGATATGCGAGGAGCGGCGTCTTAGCTCCCCCAGTGGGGCGCGCGTGGCTCCAGTGTGCATAGGTTCGGCATCGGCGTTTTAGTTTTGATGCGCTGACGCGCGTCCGGGTCTCCGTCCGCCCCGCGCAGCAGACTAGCGACTGCGAGTTAGTCGCGCCCTTCCCCGACGCATGCATTTGCGGCGTGTTGCGATTGTGTTGGGGTTGCTGCTGGATGAGGCGAGCCCGGGCCGAGGCCCGAGATCAAAAAGCGAATGTACGCCGCCATTGACCGCGTAGGACTAAGATACAGCGCCATGAAAAAAAAACAGCTAGCTACCCCCCCCCCTCCTCCCACGGCCCGCCAGGATCATCGTTGCCACCGTCATCGCCTGCATCATAACCGATGCCAACCAACATTGTCATCTCAACCAGAGCGCCACCACCGTCGCACCGTCGCCGTCGCAGCCGTCGTTTCGGCACTAATTAGCGGAAGGCTGACTCCCGAGCGTAGTGCCAGACGCTCCCCCGAAGATCGGCCCGGCCCGAAGCCCGCAGATGGCTCAACCGATGACGCCCGCTCGGCTGAGACGCCCGACCCAGCCGCGCAGGCTGAAGGCGACGCCCCGCGGCGAGTGGGAAGAGGTCGACCCCAACCAAGCAGACCCTCTTGGGTTGGAGGTCCTCCCCCCCTCCTCCTCTGTCTCCTCTCCTCCCCCTCCTCCTCCTCCTCCTCCCCCTCCTCCTCCTCCCCCTCCTCCCCCCTCGGGCCGAGGGCGACTATGCTCACGTCGATGAGTACTTTTATTGCCGCATCCCACAGCACTGGCACAAGGGAGGCGGGCAGTTGAGCAGACTCTCTCGCCGCGCCCACAGCGCGCGCTACTTGCGGGGCGTGCCAAACCAGAGGGCAGATGGCAATTACCGCGGTGCTCGGGGGAGAAAGTCGGGTGCTTCGGGATTTGGACCGTCGTCGCCGCGGCTGGATTTGCTTCGGAACCCTGGCCAGCACTCGCCTGTCTTCCGAGCGCCGCGCGCCCCAGGCAACATCCTGGTCTGCACGCGCTGCGGTGCTTGGTTTCGCCATCGGTCGGCCTTCTCCCCCCTCCCTCCTCCTCCCTCCCCCCCTCCCTCCCTCCTCCTCCTCCTCCTCCTCCTCCTCCTCCTTTTCTCATTCTTGCACTTCTCATGCTTCTGCTGTGCTTATCCTGCCTCCTCTTCCTCCTCCGATCGGTCCTGCACTGAGGACGTTGGAACTGTCGGCCGCCTGCTGTCGTCGGAGTGCGAGGGCGAGCCGTCGACGTACCACTACGCTAAGGTGCTCAAGCGTTTGATCTGCGGCCGCCAGCCGTACTTGTGCGCTCCCACGGCTGGTCTCACGGCTCGGCGTCCGCGCCCAGGGCCCTACGATTATGTGCCGAGGGTAGACTAGCGCGGCACTTACTAGTGCGAGCCCTGCACTTTGCGAGGGCACTTTCTCGTTTAAGTTGCGTTGCGGCAGGCCGATTTACGTAGCAGTGGAACGTGGGAAGTCCACGCATGTCGGTAAGTGCTGGCCTGTTGCGAGAGCCTGGGGCAAACTCAGGCATGCAACGACGACAGAAACAACGTTGCACGCCACTTCTTGCGAGCAGAACCGTCATCATCAGCTCCAGTTCGTTTCGCCCTCGCGGGCAAATGCGATGAGGAAGTAGAGGGGGAATGAGCGGGCGAAGGAGGCGATAATGAAGTAACGATGGCGTTCGCGAGTAAGATTTGAGGAGAATGAAGAGGAGGCGGAGGAGGAGGAGGAGGAGGGGGAGGCGAGTCAGCATTGTCCCCTGGGACGATCGGGAGCCTCTGGGGGGCCCGAGGGGGCCGTCGGGGGCGTGCGTCCCCGACGCTGTTGGCCACCCCCGCCCCAGCAGCGAACCGCATCCCCACCCGCGCCTCTGTTGGAGCGGGCGATCTTGTCTCTATCATCCCGCTCAACTTTGCCAGCCAGCATTGCGTCGTTTTGGAAGGCATATGCTGTCGAGCTGGTCCATGGCCACCATGCCTGACAAGGCGTCGCGCGCCTCCTGCCTTGCACGCGGCTGGGCGGTCTTCCCTCTGAGGCGGGTTCCCCCGCGGGCGCTTCCTCCTCGGTGGGGCCCCAGGTATGTCGTCCCTCCTTGGTGGGGCCCTCGGGGCCCTCGTCTCGGGAGGGCGAGGGCGCTGGTTGCCGCTGGAGCGAGCGCCGCTGGAGCGCGCGCGAGCGTCCGCGTAAGTAGCTGCGGGCGCGACCGCGACGCTGCGTGCGCCGGTGCTCAGCTCCCCACTCGCCCTCGTCATCATCTGAGCGATTCGCCCGTCTCCGGACTCGGCGGCTAGTTGATCGCTCGCGGCGGCTCGGATGCCGCCTCATAGACGCGAACGTCAAACGATGATCTTGATTGCGTCCATGTTCGCACTGGATGCGCTCTGAAAGGTCGCCAGCATCTCGAGGGTTTTCCCCGCGACGGATCATCGTCACATGATTCCGCATTGGTCGGATTGCCAATGGCCTGAAGATGATGCATCATTCGCATTTCCTCTTCTGCCGCTGAAATTGCGGCCTCGGAATCCGCGGGTGCCCCCGCCGTATCTTGATTTACATCGGCGGGTGCGTGCAAATCCTCGACCAACTCGATCTGTGCAGGTTGCCCCGCGATGGGCATGCCTAACCAGTCTGCCAGGTTGATCTCATCATGGTCAACGTATATCTCCTCGAAAAGCTCGTCGGCGCAATTCTCGAAGGACACGCTGGCACGCGAATATCTGGCAGCCGCGAAGTCGACGGCTGCAGTTGGGTCGTCGGCAGGGTCGGCCAATGGCGCTTCCCAATCGACGCGCTGTATGTTCGAATCGGTTTGAGCCAGATGCATCGCCAGACCTCTGCCTCTCTCATCGCCTCGGGGGCATTCACGGCGGAAGTGTTGTGCGCGATGGCTGATGTCGCATTCCGTGGTTTTGCCGTTAGCGTCTATCGGGTTGCCCCGGCGTCCCTTGCCCTTTCCTGAAGCGCGCATGCGACCCACGCCTGCGCCCAGGAATCGTTCTTCATGCGGTGGTCCAGTAAGAGAAAGCAGGAACGGAAACATACCTCTGCCATGCAATTGCCGTCGTTTGCCCTTGCCCTTGCCCCGACCCTTGCTTCTTCCCCTAAGTGCCCGTCGGATAATGCGTCGTACCTTGCGAATTGGCTTCTTCATGAACCGTCCCCATCTGCGTTTATGCTTCTGGCATCCTACGAACAACCATTGAACTTGTTGTCGTCCGTGCAATACGTGGGCATGTTGGAATAGTAAAGGGCATTCGTTCCGTCGTCTGATGACGTGTCGGCGTCGGTTCCTGAGTCGAAGTCAGACTCAGCGGGTTGCCCCGTTGAGCCTACAAGGGTAGTAGCTTGTGCAGGGGCCGCCGTTGCCGACGGTCCCTGATATCTGGCCCAGGAGTCGTGCGACCTCGTAGCCGGACCGCCATGTAGAGCGAATTGCGCGGTGGTTTCCGTTGGTTGCGGATCGTTATTCCAGACGTTTGTAGCAGGTTGCCCTGCTTTAGCTTCAGCATGAACAGTTTCGGCGCGGTGACCGCGGCTGAAGATACCACCAATCTTGCCAAGGGTTCGCTCAGCGATATGAGCATACGACCTCATGCGTTCAAGCAGAGAATCACAGTGCTGTTGATTCCTCGGCATTTGATGGCTGCGTGGCTGTAGAAGTTGTCGTGCACGCGACGCCCCCACTTCTAAGGCTCTGAACAAACTTGCCGTTAAGTTTTGGAAACGGGGGATGTTAAAACCTGCCGTTTAGCGGGATCTCTCGAAGCGCGGCAGTGTCTAATCGATCCGTTCTCCCGCATTGACTCGGAAGTCAATGAGAGCAGTACCCGGCTTAAGTTGGCGTTCCTCCTCTAAGTTCTCAAACTTCGTGCTAAGGAAGAACATTATCTAGGTGGCACCATCAGTATGACGGCCACCAATGTTGACGCCAAAGTTAATAACTGCTGGGGGGGGGGTCTCGTGGCTATGGTCCGTGCGAGGCCTCCCAGACCACGCTGCAGCGCCGCGGCCTGTTGGGAGGGCGTCGTAGCACCTGTGGTCACGTTGATCAAAGCATGTACCTCTCGAGCGAACTCACGGGAAGGTATTTGACCGGCCGGGCCCCGCCCGGTGGGGGCTGGTCGTTCTTGTCCTCTCCGCCCCGCATGTGTCCAACATCGCACCCGATAACAATCTGCAAAAGACCAGAGATAGTAATACCAATCCAATGGCCCCGTAGGTCGTAGTCAGATGTTGGTGTTTGAGGTTTGTGGTGTTTTGTTGTAAGTCTGCGCATGGTATCTTCACAGAAGTTTCCAAGTGGAGTAGGTGGGCAGACGTCAGGAATGTAGTAGCGCAGAAATGTAGGACTCGAGTAAGATGCCCCCGCGAAAACAGAGGTAGCACTGCAAGTGTCCTTGCGGTTGTGCGTAGTTATGTGCATTCTTTCGCGCATATCCACTGCACCCTGATGTTCCACCATGTCAGTAGTCCACCAAATAGTGCCGTGGATGGTGAGGAGTAGAGCAAGAGCTGACCACCATAGGCCAGCCCCGCTACCAAGTTTGAAGGGGGCCGGTAGGCCCGTCCAGAAGCTACGCCTTAGGCGAAGCACAGTTCCTGCTCTGTTGTATCTTAGAAGCGATAATCCCAGTCGTAGGAGGTCGTCGCGGGAGCGACGGGCCATCTCACGCGAAGGATGTTTTCAGTCTCGATGGCAAGTAGTATGCCTCGCAATGAGGCGCAGTCATATGTTGGCGGCCGGCCGCTTGAACACAAACGGCCGCAGACCAACGCTCGCTACCTCTCGCCCGTGTCCCAACTCACTTTCGAGTCAAGAGGCCTCCAAGACGCCCAAGATGGCCCGCCAATACGGCCCTGGAGCACCCCAGGAGGGCCCCAAGTCGGCCCAAAGAGGCCCACCAAACGGTTTCCGACGGCGTCAGACGGGCCAGGAGCCCACCAAGATGGCCGAAGTTGGCTCGAAGCTGGCCCAAGACGGCCCAAGAGGCCTCCAAGAGGGCCTCCAGGAAGGCCAGAAGAGGCCAAACACACAGATGTTCCGTAGGTTTTTGAAGGATTTTGACATTTGCTTCTTTTCGGCCTTCCGACGACCCGAGATAGCCCAAGAGCCCCCAAAGATCGCCCAAGAGGTTTCCCGTATGGCCCCAAAACATCCCAAGAGGCTCCCAAGACGGCCCCAAGAGGCCTCCAAGACGGCCCAAGAGGCCTCCAAGACGCTCAAGATGGTCTCCAAGGCGGCCCTGGAGCACCCCAAGAAAGGCCCAAGTCGGCCCAGCCTCGCCCACCGTGTTCCCCGAACGCTTTCCAAACCGATTCGGGGAACACATGGTCCGATAGCTTGGCAGGCCTCTGGCCACAACGTTCGGCCACATAGCTGTTTCCAAAAAGGCAGGGGGCGGCGGTGATTCGCCGTAGGCGTCTTCGATAACATTTTGCTGATAGAACGCAAAAGGTTGCACCCTTGTGCTGCCTAGCAAATACTTGACAAAGAAGCACGTGCAAGCTGTGTAGAGGAAGGGAGGGACGACAAACGATAATAGTCTCCGATAGGAGCGAGAGGACAAACGATACGCCCGCGTGGTGTGGGCATGATGCTCACTCAGACAGAAGCTTGGTGGTTGGAAGGCGGCACGCGCGCCAAACTCGCAGGCGTTTGCGAATTCGCGCCTCGTCTTGTGTACGCACAGCACTTTCGCCAGACTATCATGTCTTGTGTCGCAGAAACCAAGGCGTCCCTGCGCACGAGTTGTCAGCTCCGACTGGGAACTTGAGGAAAAAGAGCAGAAGCATGAAGGTGGAGAGGGACGGAGGGTAAACGTGCAAGATCTTCTTGAGGTAAAGGGGAACAACTAATTCACGAAATTAACTGAGTCCCGTACAACTCGGATCCGTGGACCTGCTGCAAAAGATCACGGGCCTTGCTGAGCATATTCTCCCGCGTCACTGTGCCTCCCGTCAAGAAACGGTCCGCAGACTGGATGTTGGAGTGAGTGCCGTCCCAATGGCCATCGCGCCCATGCATCACACGCCAATTGTTCACCACCACGATCTGGCCCGCTTCAACCCGCAAACGACGCACGAACTCATCTGAATGGATCATCTGTCCAAATTTCAGATAGGCCGCATACCACGGCTTGAAGATGTCGAACGGAAGCTCCGACGGAATCCGGAAGACCTCGTTGTACTGCGTGCGAATGATGCCGCCCGCGTCGTCCAGCTGGATGATGGGCTTTCCTGACATCACGCACAAATTCACTGTGTGGCCTTGGTCGGCGTCTTGCCGGCTCGCAGCGGTAAACCTCCGCTGGGGGCTACCGTATCGGCTAATTAGCTCGAACGCTTCAGGATCACGCTCGCGCAGAGCCTCGCAGACAGCAGAGGTGTCGACAAGCGTGTTCACGCCGTAACCCCTCGCCGTATGCATCACGAGGAAGAGGGCCGGAATGCCATGGTTGGGCAACGACTGGTCGGTGTGGTTATTGAGCTTCAGCGTGGGAGCGTAGGAAATCGAGGCAGCGCCCTCCTTCGGCGCAATCCTCCGACCCCTTCTCGAGCCTCCAGGCGTGAAAGATTATCCCCCCCTGTCATGCCCCCCACCGGCCCAAAATTGCCGTTTGAGGAGAGGGGTGGCTGGCGACGACCCCCAGACCAGACATCTGTGCCCTTTTGGGCCGGGATGGCCCCGAAGCGGGTCCGAGATGCCCCCCAGAGTGCCAAAATGACACCAAGAGTCCACGGTGCCTCCAACGCGGCTCAACAACGCTCCAAGACGCCCAAGATGGCCTCAAGGCGCCCCCAAGACGGCCCAACGGCACAAGCAGCTCTCAAGATGGCCGAAGAAGACCCCAAGAGGGCCCACAGAGGGACTCAAGAGTGAGGAACACGAACTGAAACCCTACCAGCCATTTAGGGAACAAGTGGTTTAGGACGTTTTCTCTTCCCCTTCTTCTCCTTCGGGGAGGGGTTCGTCACTGCCGCTAATCCGTCACCATGCCGCTGGGCACAGAGTGAGCGTGTCCTCAAATCCTGGACCCGCTCCTCTAAGCCTCAACCCTCACTCCTGAGGAAGATTTATGGGGCCCGGACCCCAAAATCATAAATCTCCCAGGGCTTGGTGAGTGCCCCTGGGCTCGAGAAAATGTTCCCGCATAACTTTTCCAAGGGCAAGAGGGCCCAAAGAGGGCCCCAAGATGGGCCAAGAGGGCGCCAAGCGGCCTCCAAGACGGCCCTGAGACACCCAGGGATAGGTCCAAAACACCCAAAATGACCTCAAGATGGCCCACAAGGCGCCCCAAGAGGCCTCCAAGAGGCCTTCCAAGAGGGCCCCAAAATTCAAATTCATTGATTGTCCGAAGGTTTTTGAATGATTTTGGCGCTTCGCTTTTTCGGAATTCCGACGCTCCAAGACGGCCCAGGAGGCCCCCAAGGCCACCCAAAATCGACCCAAAAAGCTTCCTAAAAGGCCCCCGAACAGCCTGAAAGCGCCCCATGACGGCTCAAGAGGCGTCCGAGACGGCCCCAAAAGGGGCCCCAAAAAATGAAAACGAATCGGAAATCCGAGCCTCCCGCCCAACGAAACCCCCAGGAGGCCCCAAGAGGCGCTCAGGAATCCCCAAGAGGCCTCTGAGAGGCCCCCGAGATGCCCAAAGGCCCTTGAAAGGCCTCCAAAAGGGTTCCGAACTGCCTCCAAAAGGAACTCGAGATACCTCCCACGAGATCCCAACGAACATCCAACAAGATTCATACCGACAACCCAGGCACGGTGGCGGGATGGGCCGACGGCCATGACATGAATATACGATCCTTCCCCCATCTGACCCCCACCATCCCTTGACCAAAAAAACCGGGCGAAGGACCCAACAATATGCAGCAGTGGGTGCAGCAATTGTGGGCATCGTCTTCAGTGGAACTCCTTTTGGGCCACGAAGCGTTGTACTGGGCGGGGGAGACGCATGCGAACTTTGCCACTGGGGTCGCTGATGGAGTTTTCTATGGGCCGCGAAACGTTGTACTGGATGGGAAAGACTGTGCCACTGGGGATTTCGGTGGAGCTCCCGCGACGCGTGTGAAAAAAAGTGCTGGAATGGCCCGAAACCGCCGCCGGTGGAACTCCCACGAAGTGCGTGATGGGTGGGTGTGCCGAAATGTACCGAGGCCGCCATGCGGACTGTGCCACTTGGGCCTTCAATGGGCCTCCCTATGGAACCGCGAAACGCGTGAGGTGTGTGTGTGTGTGTGTGTGTGTGCCGAAATGGCCCGACGCAGCGATGCGGACTCATTCGCTCCAGGCCCTAAAACACTATCTCGAAATGTGTGTGCGCGAAGCAATCCAAACATTAAGTTCAACATTGTGCACGTGATCGGGGCTGTGACGACAGCTGATCAGAAGGAAGGTATCATATAATGTTCAAGCATGGCGGCACTCCAATTCCCATTCTACTTGTGAAATATATCCAACATCGCTCGAGGAGGGAAATATCACTGAAATGGGTCCTGGAAATCATGTTTCGCATATGTCGCTCCGTCAGACAACCGACATCCCACGATAATGACATGTAGGACCTGATAAAAAGTATGTACGAGATTTGCGGCGGGCGACCCGCCTGGGTGCGTTTATGCCCATGGTGCCAACAAGGCCAACATGCGAAATCATAGCAACTGTCTCTGGCGTAGTAGTATGTCTGTATGTATGTATGCATGTATGTATGCATACATATATACATATATGTATACAGGTGTGTATATGTATACATATGTATATGTATGTATATAGATTTCTGGATATAAACCGTGCGAGAATCAATCCAAGTTTCGCATCTACGAACTTGCTCATTTACAAAACATCGTTGGACCGAGGTGTGCGCAATCCCAAATGCGATTGACACGACTCTCAAATTGACGAATTGTACGCGCAGTGATGTCGCCAACCCCCATGTACTCGCAATCGTGCTCGCCGATGTAGATCCACTGGCTCAAGTGGTACGACCAGGAGCGGTACGCGTCGTCGCGGTAGCGCTTGAGGTAGTAACGCCACCGTGCCTCTGGAAACGTCCTGCGAGTGCCGCCCCGATTGCGCTCGCTGGTCATGCATTGCGAGCGTCGCGGCCCGCGCGGCGGCGCAATCGGCCTCCGCGCCCCCGCCGGGGTCGGCATAGCAGATGCCAGCGTCGCCGGGAGCAGGGCCGCCGGATGGCGCCGCGCCCAAGGAGGAGGCAGCGCCCGAGGCAGACCCATCGCGGCGCGGCGGGGAAGGCGCGGGTGGTGGGGTGGAGCGGGGGTCGGCGATGGGATCCATCCCCTCGCCGATGGCCTTGCCCCCCTTGGCGTCTGCAATGTGATGCGCCGCTCTGAGCTGCGCCGAGGTCGCTAGGCCCTCGCCCGTTTCGCCCCCTTTCGGAGTGGAGAAGGCCACGAACCCCGCTTTGATGCGCCCAGCGCGAGGCATCGCACCAGGCGCGGCAACTTTACGTCCAGCATAGCCTTTCTCTGCGCTTTCGGCACACAGGCGCGCGGCCAATTCCACGTCGGCAAGCGCGTGGGGCGATGGATTGATCGCGGTGCGTTCGCGTGTCACTTGCTGCCGGAGGACAGGGCGCTCCTGGGGGCGAAAGGCAACGTTTTTGCACGGGTGGTATAAGACTGTTGCATCGTCTTCTTCATCGACCTGGGCGCCGGCCAAGCGACGCGAGCGTGCAATTGGGCGTCCGGCGGCGGTCCATTCCCCATGCCTTCGCTCTGCCTTCAGGGCAAGCCTTCTGATATTATGCTTCTGAGTGGCGGCGTCGGATCTCCGGCCTGTGAAACTGATTCTGACGTCTGCGCTCATTAACTGACGCGCAGCGTTCTCATTCGGGCTATCACGGACCAACATTTGACGCCCGCAATGAACGCCACTTCGCCCTCGCCTGCCTCGCCAAACTGGAGTGCGTTCGCGCGCATCCTGCAGGTGTGGTCGCTGTAATTGACAGGGGGGTCGCGGATGCAGCTCTGGCAGCATCGCGTCTGCGTCTGGGCGTCGAGCGATTGGCTCCGCTCGCGGGCGTTTCCACCGCGAACGACCGTGATCGCGGAGGGCCTGATCGGGGATCGCGCGAGCGCTATCGGGGGCAAAATCGGTGGAGAGAGATTCGCATTCCTCGCCAGTCATTTCATCAAAGAGATCGCCCATCGCGATATCTCCGCGAGACGCGTGCGCTGAGGCAGCGCCAGTGTGCTGAGCAATGATATGCTTGGCCTGCTCCAAGAGCGCCGCCTCCTTCGCAGCCCTCTCGGCGCGCAGGGGGAGATTGTCGACGTCAGCGCGGGGATATCGACAATGCGTTCCTGAATTGGGGCGGCAGCAGAGGCGGGGCCGCCCTATGGCCAAGACGCTTTCGCGCGGAAGGTTCTGGTCGAGGGCATTGCAAACGTCGCATATGAGGATGACCTGGAAGCGGTCTTTGTCATCGTCCCTCTGCAACTGGATGGAGGAAACGCAGCGCAGCGACGATCCAGCATTCGTCCTCCGATTGCCGCGGTCGGCCGAATTGTTGCACTTGTTTCATATGGGCGGTCGCGGATGAAAGATGCTACATGGTCGCTGCCCATAGGGCAATGTCGTGTGACCTTGGCCAGATGTTGACGCGGCGGCCCAGGAACTGGTTGGGGCCATTGCGACCGCCATGGTCATGACGTAATGGCGTAGAGATAGACGTTCTGCTTTCTTTCGTGGCGCCGAAGACATGACTGCATATTCCCAACCCTTTATCGACGGAGGTCCCGAATGCCTTGTGATGACATTGCCATGCGTAATCCACATGTAATCGGGAAAACATCAGCTGTTCTGCAAATCGGGGGCACGCGCGGTCACGCAGTCGTCGCGCTGCAGGCGGTCAATGTAGCGATCGCCCGCGGCGCATGGGACACGGGGATAATGATCTCGCAACGCACAAGGGGCCCATGGATAGGGGTCGTTCGTCTTCGCGCGGATGCAGTACTCAAGCGGCGCGCAGCACTTCCCACGTTTACTGGTCGCTGCGCCCGTGCGCGGACATCGCTGATAGCTGGGAGGGGGCTGATGGTGCCGCCAAAGGAACACCGTCAGCACGTGTTGCCACCTGCGCAGCGTCAGTCACCGTTGGCGTAGACGGTGGTCGCGGCGCGGGCGCAGGTGGAGCCTTGGGCATGGGTGGGAGCGGCGGCGGCGGTGGCGGCGGCGGTGGTTGCAGGGGCGGCGGCGGCTGGGAAGAAGCGGTCGCGGGTGTTCCACCGGCGGCGGCGGGCGCGTGGGCGGAGGCGGCGGGGTCGGCAGTGGAAGCCGTGGGTCCGCCAGCAGCTCTCCTGCGTCCTTGGGGGGGGGCGGAAAGTTGTCCTCGTTTGTCTTCGCCTGTTGCCGAAACCAAGCCTGCAATTTGATGATGTACTTGTTGTTGCAAACGTTTTTTTGTCGAGCACGATCGTCTCAGCGCTCGCACGGACGTCGGAGACGGGCTTGATCTTGTCGATGAACTGCTCGCGCACAAGACGAGTTGCAACGCATCTGGTGCGACGCGGCGGC